CATCTTCGTTTTTTTCTTTTTCTATTTTATTTTAACAATCACAGAAATTGTTGATATAAATTATTTTAGTCTCTTCAACTTGAATAGTTCTCTTAATAATGGATAAAACCTTATAATATATAAGAACAATTATCCAATTGAAAATAATTTTATCAAAAATTGTGATCTTTATCTATTTTTATGTTTGACAGTTTAACTTTTTTCTTTTATTGTTTCATTTACTCCTCCTTGTTCGTCTATATTTCGATAATTACAACCTTAAGGTTCATGTCATGATAGTATTGATAGTAATATGATCATGAATGAATAGAGCGGATGTCACTAAGAAATAACTTCCTTCGATCATTATCCTTTTTATGAACAATTAGAATAAAGATGATAAGTTTTTGAATCATATCCGACCATGATAAGGTGTAAATATTATTTTAACACAGAACAGATCATACTAAATGGACTATCATAAAATAAGAGCGGTTTAATTTAGTCATCTCGGGGGGAAAGAAATAAGACATGAAAATCAATAAATGCCTTAAAGGTATATTTCATTTGATCATAAATTTTGTTTGTTTTTATATTCAACTTTATCTTTAATTTTGAAGAGGTATATTTTCAATATAATTTTCTTATCTTATTTTTTTCTTAATTCTAGATGATTTATCTTATTTATCTTTTTTCTCTTATATCAATTGTTAAAACATCTGATTATTCTTTAATAATCGATGAAAAAACTTCGATTGATCAACCCATATTTCATTTTCCTTATTCATATGAATTAATAAATAATTTTCAATCAAATTTTAATTTAACAAATAATAATCAAAATTTAATCTTAACTAAAATTATTGATCGTGATTATTGGTGTTCACAAAATATATGTTCATGTGATTATTGTTCGTTTATTCTTGAATTATTTTCTATACATAATCAAATACCAAAATTCTCAACAATTAATATTACAATCAATGATATTAATGATCATACATGTCAATTTTTTGATTTACAAACAAATATATCATTATCAGAATCTATTCAAATTGAACATCGTTTTCCAATAGCACGTGCAATTGATTATGATTCGGGATTAAATGGAAAATTATCATTTAAACTTCTTAATAATGATAATATTTTTCAATTAGATATAATAACTTTATCAATGAATGAATATGCTATATATGGAATTGTTAAACATTCACTTGATAGAGAAATAACAGAAACATATGATTTAATTATTGAAGCACGTGATCATGGAATTCCACAACCAAGAATGAACCGAACAATGGTTAGAATTACTATATTAGATGAAAATGATAATGCACCGAAATTTAATCAAACTGAATATTCAATTGAAGTAAGTTTAATATTATTCAATAATTGTAAACTAATACTATTATTTCTATTTAGTCTCTACCAGAAAATACACCTATCGGTACGAAATTATTAACAATATTCGCCAGTGATCCTGATAAAGATTTAAATGGTTTAGTACATTATTCAATAGTAAATCCACCAAATCCATCATCATTTCCATTTATAATTAATTCTAAAACAGGCGTTGTTAGTCTTCGTTCATCATTAGATTATGAAACAACACATTTATATCGTTTTTTAATTCGTGCATCTGATTCTGGTGTACCCCAATCATTATTTACTGATACATGGTTATCAATTTCCATTCAAGATATTAATGATTGTCCTGTTGAAATACTTTTTGTACCAAATCGAAATTTTCAATATAATAATCAAACATTATTTATTAAAGAAAATACTGAAATTAATAATTTAACATTAGGTTATATACGTTTATTTGATCGTGATTCTATCCAAACAAATTTATCTATATCATTAATAATATTAAATAATAATCAACCAAAACAAGATTATGAAATAATTTTATCCAATCAATTAAATTCTTATATACTTATTGTTAAACATGGAATATTTGATAGAGAAATTGAAGAAGAAATTAATCTACGATTTATCGCAACTGATAGTTTATTAACGTCGATTTATGATTTAAAAATACATTTAATTGATGTTAATGATAATCCAAGTGAGTTTTTAACGAATCCAATAATATTTTATGTTGAAGAATTAGCAAATTATCATATGATTGAAAATCCTATTGAAGATTATGAATTAACAATTGGATATTTAAATGCAATTGATCGTGATCAAGGAGTGAATGCTTTAAATACATATGAATTAGAATTAAATTCTTTAGTTAAAATTGATTCGAATAACGGACGAATTTATTTAATTCAACCATTAGATCGTGAACAAATTCAAAAAATTGAATTAAAAGCGAAAGCAATTAATGTTGCTCCACCAAAATGGGTAACAGAAGTTCAAATACAGATATTCGTTTTGGATGTAAATGATAATATACCTCAATGTTCATCATCCTATTATCGTTTATCAATTCCCGAAAATATTTCAATTGATAAACCAATAATAAAAATAAATGCTAGTGATCCTGATCAAGGTATAAATGGCACAATAAATTATAAATTTCGAACAAATTCTACATGGCCATTTAATATCAATGAAAAAACTGGTGAAATCTATTCGAAAAAATCGTTTGATTATGAATCCGATTGGAAATATTTTCTATTAACAATTGATCTTGAAGATAATGGAATACCAATAAAAAATATCAATAAAAATTCTTGTCAATTGGAAATATTTCTTGAAGATATTAATGATAATCGCCCGGAATTAATTGATAATAATCAAACAAAATTATTTTTTGATATACAAAAATCATTTAAAAATCAATTTATTCAATTAAATATAACTGATAAAGATTCTGGATTGAATGGAAAAATTAAATATAATATTCAATCAATTGATTCAAATATTCCATTAAATTTCAATCAAACATTATTTGAATTAAATCAAAATGGTAGTTTATATTTAACATCAGATATTCATCAAATATGTTTATTTACATTAAAAATTTTACTTGAAGATTATGGTTATCCATCTCAACATAATTTAATTCAAATAAATATTGCGTTTGGTGATTCATTAAATCCGTATTATTCATCATTTGATAAAATTCAATTATATTTTGATAAAAAATCTTCTCATACAAATTATTTTGCTTTTATATTTGCGATTATTATTTTAACAATAACATTTATATTCTTAATATCAATTATTATTATATGTATATTAATACGGCAACATCGTCAAAGACATAAAGCTGCAATTATATCACGAAATAAACTTTTATGTTCATCATCACAACAATTAACAACATCAAATTCAACAGTTACAACATCATCATCTATTGAACATCAACAAATTATTCGAGTAAGTTTCTTATTTATGAAAAAAATTTTTAATTTAATATATTTTATTGTTTTTAGACATCATATTGGAATGAAAAATCTTTTATTGATCAACATTTGGTGAATAATTCTTCACCGGAATCTCATACATATAAAATTCTTCATATACCAATTGATAGTCAATGTTATGAAAAAGAAAAAATTGATGATATTAGTTGTGATCATGGTTATCATGAAAGTTATCAAACAGGTTCATCATCACCAGAACAATGTTTATCCGATGTATCCATTCATCAAGATTATATGTTTAAACAATTACCATTTTTTGTAACAAAATGTAAAACTCTTGGTGATGGATTTATGGTTGAAATGAATGTGGATGGAAGTGATGAAGATGGAAGATAATTGAACAGAAACTTTTTTTTTCTTCTTCTTTTTGTATAGATAGACGAAATGATGTTTTATTTATTATTTCTGTATTCGAAAATAAAAAATGAACAAAAAAGAAATGAAATTATTCTTGAAAGGCAATTAAAGCAAAATGAGTTGTTAGCGGAATCTCTGCAGGATTGAAATGTGAAACATTCGCTCATATCAAATGATTTACTGTGTTTGTAAAAGTAGAAAGTAAAGTTAGATGAAGAAAGAAATGTGATTATAACAACATAAATTTCGTAGTATTAAATTGTTTATAATATTGAACGAAATTGTAAAGAGTATCAAATTTGATAGACTATACATATGACTATGCGCCAAGTTTTATAAATAGATTACAATAAAAGAAAAAAAAATTGAGCAGTTATTCTTAATGAAACTAATATTAAATAAGTCAAATTGTATAAATATATACATATATCTTGATTCTAAGCGACATCTAATTATTTTTTACAAAATTCTATTTTTGAGATTTAATGTTTTTCAAGGTTTTGATGCAATAGAGTTTGTGTACTTTTTCAATTGACATTGACTTATGGTTCTTTTTTCAATCACGTTTTTACCCAAACAAGTAATATTTTATTGTTGACTATCTTTATTTTTCATTTCTTCCAACATTTCACTTTCAAAATAACTAATAAATGGCAACAGCAGCAGCAACTGTTAAAGCACGATGTGTCACATGTGGAAAAGACAGAAATACAGTTCGATGTGATGGATGTTCTCAACCATTTTGTTACAATCATCTGGGAGATCATCGACAAGAATTAAGCAAACAATTAGATGAAATTGAAGTCAATCGGGATCTTTTTCGACAAACTCTTACAGAACAATCAGCTAAACCAGCAAATTTAACATTAATAAAACAAATCAATCAGTGGGAACAAGATTCAATTGCTAAGATTCGTCAAACAGCAAATGAAGCTAGACAAACAATACTACAACATAACATGAAATATCTGACTGAAACTGAAATCAAATTAAATACTTTGACTAAACAACTACGAGAAATTCGTGTAGAAAATGATTTTGTTGAAGCAGATCTTCAACGATGGAAAACACAATTAACACAAATGAATAACGAATTAGATAAACCTTCAGACATTACGATTCAACAAAGTTTGACACCATTAATCACTACAATTCGTGTTAATGTATCAGGTAATCTTTGAAAATATTATATTTTCGCAAAGTTGAAAGAAAAATACATTGAAATTAAACTAATTATAAACACATTGTATGTTATTCTTCTTTACATGTCGTCAAATACAATATTTAATTTTCATCTGAGTCTTTTTACTAGGATCAACGATCTAAAATATTACAAAGTAGCACATATATAATGACTATACATTTTCTGAGGACGTCTACTAAAAGTTTTGGAAGAAAATGATTTATAAAATAGAAATGTTCATTACGGATAAATGTACACTATATCAAACAAAAACTGGTAGTTAAATTAGAATGACAGAAAGAATTCAAGAAAGAATAAGTGTTTTTACTTATATCTGTGTTAAATTGTTCATTAATTAAATTCATAATTTACTAGAGAAACTGTAGTAGATAAGTGTTACAATCAAACGATACCATTCACTTATTCTATCTGACAAGTTTTATTGTGGATGAATTTATTTTGGTCAACAAAAAAAGCAGAATTCTTTGTTTTCGCGATGATAAGCACTGCAATTAAATAGTTCTCTAATTATAAATGTATATTTTATTTTAGTCACACCGCATTTACCAAATCTTGGTATGGATAGAAAATGGATACAAAAGGGTATCACAGTAGCTGGAGGCAGTGGACAAGGCAACAAAAATAATCAATTATCTAAGCCATATACCTTGTACATCGATGAAGATGAAACTATATACATTGTTGACTTTAATAATCATCGTATTGTAGAATGGAAACGTGGTGCATCAAATGGTCAAATAGTTGCTGGAGGAAATGGAGCTGGATACCAAGATAATCAACTGAATCATCCAACAAGTGTCATAGTTGACAAGGTAAATGATTGTTTTATTATCTCGGATAATGGTAACCAAAGAGTGATACGATGGCCTCGTCAGAATGGCACAAGTGGACAAACAATCATTTCGAACATTGCTTGTATTGGATTAACAGTGGATACCGAAGGACATCTTTATGTTTGTGACAACGATAAACATGAAGTGAGACGATGGAAAGTGGGAGATAAAGATGGGATATTAGTAGCAGGTGGAAATGGACAAGGAAATCGGCTTGACCAACTGAACACACCTTGGAGCATATTTGTTGATGGAGAGAATTCATTGTATATATCAGATCGTGAAAATCATCGTGTAATGAAATGGATGAAAGATGCAAAGGAAGGTATTGTAGTCGCTGGTGGTGAAGGCGCAGGAAATGGACTGACACAACTGTACTGTCCTCAAGGTGTGGTAGTCGATCAAGTAGGCAATGTTTATGTAGTAGATTCCGGTAATTATCGAATAATGCGTTGGTGTAAACATGCTACACAAGGTAGTATCATTGTTGACGACATTAGATCAAGAGCAGAAGCAAATCAACTACAAAATCCTTTGGATCTGTCAATTGATAGACAAGGGAATCTTTACGTCCTCGATTACGGCAATCATCGATTACAAAACTTCAATATTGATTCAACTTAAAACCTAACGTAGATAAAAATTCATGCCGATAAACTTTTATTTTATTTTACACTTTCCTTTGTCATGAATTATTATATAAACATAGAAAGCTATTATTTACTTCCACTCTTAATCTTTTTGTAATACTATTTCTATTTTAATTTAGAACAATATTCAGGAAATAAAACTTTTTTTAAATTTATTAACATCGGAGTGTGATAGATGTGTGTGAGTTAAACACAATATAAATATTTACGTTGTCTAGTTCAACTAAGCATGCAGTGCCACAGATCATTCATAACCACTAATTTATACCCATATATAATAGTCTTGTGTTATAATCAAATTGAGTTTATAACAACTTTGTAATATTAATTCGAAAAATTATAGAAGTGTTAGGTGTATTTAGAATATTCAAAATATTTTATCCCATACACTATATTCGGGATTTAATATGTGAATATCACACTAATATTTCTCATCTTAAAATAAACTCGTTTAATTCTTATAGAATACAATAGAAATTTGAAAAGTCATTCTAACTATCGAAAACTTTCCACTAGTGAGAAAATAATTTCTGATAATTTATTTTCGTTCTTCTACTTCTCATAACCTTCTATTGACATTGACTCATGGTTTTTTTACATCACGTTTTTACCGAAGTAAATAATATTTTATTGCGACCTTTCTTTTTCATTTCTTCCAACATTTTACTTTCAAAATAGGTAATAAATGGCAACAGCAACAGCAGCAGGTAAAGCACGATGTGTTACATGTGGAAAAGAGAAAAGCACAGTTCGATGTGATGGATGTTCTCAACCATTTTGCATGAATCATTTTGGACATCATCGACAAGAATTAGACAAACAATTAGGTGAAATTGAAGTCAGTCGAGATCTTTTCCGACAAACTCTTACAGAACAATCAGCTAAACCAGAAAATCAAACATTAATAATACAAATCAATCAGTGGGAACAAGATTCAATTGCTAAAGTTCGTCAGACAGCAAATGAGGCTAGACAAACAATACTGCAACATACTACTAAATATCTGACTGAAATCGAAATCAAATTAAACACATTGACAAAAGAACTACGAGAAAGTCGTGAAGAAAATGATTTTATTGAAGCAGATCTTCAACGATGGAAAACACAATTAACAGAAATGACCAACGAATTAGATAAACCTTCAACCATTACGATCCAACATAGTTCGATACCATTAATCACTACAATTCGTATTAATGTATCAGGTAATCTTTTGATATTATATTTTCGAAATGTTGAAAGATAAATATATTCAAACTAAACTAATTATAAACAAATTTTATGTTGTTTTCCTTGACATGTCACGAAATACAATATTTAATTTTTATCTGAGTCTTTTTACTAGGATCAACGATCTTAAATAAACTTTAAAATACAATCTGGATATGATTATAAAAAACTCTTCATCATCGAAGATTTTCATTAGCAAAAATATTACAAAGTGTCATATTTATAATATTGTTTGAATGACTATAGATTTTCTGAGAACTTCTATTAAAAGTTTTGGAAGAAAATGATTTATAAAATAGAAATGTTCAAAATAGATATATCTGCACTCTACTAAACAAAAACTGGTAGTTAAATTAGAATAACAGAAAGAATTCAAGGAAGATTAAGGGTTTTTACTTATATCAGTGTTAAATTATTGATTAATTAAATTCATAATTTACTAGACAAATTGTAGTAAATAAGTGGTACAATCAAATGATAACATTCATTTATTCTATCTGACAAGTTTTATTGTGGATGAATTTATTTTGATCAATAAAAAAGCTGAATTCTTTTTTTTCGCGACGATAGCGACTGCAATTAAATAGTTCTCTTATTGCAAATATATATTTTGTTTTAGTCTCATCACATTTACCAAATCTTGGTATTGATGCAAAATGGATACAAAATGGTATCACAGTAGCTGGTGGCAATGGACAAGGCAACGCAACTAATCAATTATGTAATCCGTATAGCATGTACATCGATGAAGATGAAACTATATACATTGCTGACTTTAATAATCATCGTATTGTAGAATGGAAACGTGGTGCATCAAATGGTCAAATAGTTGCTGGGGGAAATGGATCTGGAAACCAAAATAATCAACTGAATAATCCAACAAGTGTTATAGCTGACAAAGTAAATGATTGTTTTATTATCTCGGATTATGGTAATAAAAGAGTGATACGGTGGCCACGTCAGAATGGCACAAATGGACAAACAATCATCTCGAACATTAATTGTCTTGGATTAACAATGGACAATGAAGGACATCTTTATGTTTGTGACAACGATAAACATGAAGTGAGACGATGGAAAGTGGGAGATAAAAATGGGATAGTAGTAGCAGGTGGAAATGGACAAGGAAATCGACTTGATCAGCTGAACACACCTTGGAGCATTTTTGTTGATGAAGAGAACTCATTGTATATATCAGATTTTGGAAATCATCGCGTGGTGAAATGGATGAAAGATGCAAAGGAAGGCATTGTAGTCGCTGTTGATCAAGGCCTAGGAAATGGACTGACACAACTGTTGAGTTCACGAGGTGTGACAGTCGATCAAATAGGCAATGTTTATGTGGCAGATCAAGGTAATTGTCGAGTAATGCGTTGGTCTAAACACGCTATAGAAGGTAGTATCATTGTTGGCGACATTAAACTAGGAGCAGGAGCAAATCAACTTAATAATCCTTTGGATTTGTCATTTGATCAACAAGGAAACCTTTATGTCGTGGATCACGGCAATCATCGAGTACAAAAATTCAATATTGATTCAAGTCGAAAATGATAGTAAATAAAAATTAATGTCGATAAACTTTGATTTTATTTTACACTTTCTTTTTCGTGAATTATTATATAAACATAGAAAACTATTATTTACTTCCTACCTTAATTTTATTGTATTACTATTCTTGTTTTAATTTAGAACAATATTCAGGAAATACAAATTTCTTAAAAATCTAGCAACACAATAATTATTATCGTTTATTATATTTTCACCAAAGAAAAGAAGCTAATAAATAAAATAAATAAAATATTCTTAAATTTGAAATTATTTGGAGATGAATTATAGTGGATGTGACAGACAGTGTAGATCTTATCGCATTTCTATTCTCCTCAAAATATTCTGATCTTCTTCTTTTTCTAAATATTCAAGACTTGTGATAATCATTTCGTTTTGCATTGTATTTACATAATCCATACAGAAGTATTGCTGAACTTAATTTTCATGAATATGGACAAGTATGGCGAAACATTGATCAGAAAGTATCATATGAAATATTGTAACTGGTGAATAAAAATGATGAAAGATTGAAAACTGTATCGTAATATTGAAATAGAATATTATTTGGCGACAAGATTTCTAAGTTGTCTTATTGTGCAAAATAGAATAAATTGATTTATATTTAATTCATGTTTCTTCTCATTTGTTTCATTGCCTTAGTCACGTTCAATATTTTTACAATAGTATTTTCCACTTTTTATTTCTAACGTATCATTCCCCTCTATAAATTATTATTCTAAATATTAAAACTTCCTCAAAATTTTTGTTGTTCACATATACAATGGTTAGATATTTATAAGATGATCTAGTTTTACGTGAATATTTTACCAATTTTATTTCAACAAATTTTAACATATATGTATTCAAAATAATATTCTATCATAGACTTATTTTAATTGAAGTTTTTATTTTTACGCTTGTAGCTTTATCGGTTCGATAAGTTCTTAAGCAATTTGACTTCATAATATATACTTGAAGATTTCATAATTGATTTAAACCATTTGTTTATCATTGTACTTTATTGAATATCCAAACCAATAAATAATCGTTTGTATATGACACAATGATTGATGAAACTTGAATATTAAAAGAAACAACACATTGAATTAATTATAAAAATAGATAATATACAATTGTTTTTAATTATCAATTTGATTATCTTTTCTATAACATATTAGAGAATAATTGTTGTTATGAACAATAAAGTGAACAATGTAAAACAATAATCAATGCTAAAATAAATGCATGATCTTCTTGTTGTTTATCATTATTTGACTCAATCATTTCAATTCCATATGAATCAGCAAAAGAAAAATATTTTTTATTTACAATCGCAATTGTTTTGTTATTTTTGTTTTTTAATGTAAATGAATGATCAAATATATCAAGACCTTTCATTTTATATTCACCATAAATTGAATAGATAATATAACTATGTTTAAAAAAGGTGAATTTTTGTCTAATTGATGCTATTTGTCGATCTGAATCCCCATCACGTGCTGATAAAATATTAAATTGATCGAGAAAACGAATACCATTTTGACGAATTTTAAAAAGTGCACTATAGAATAATGAAAAGATATATGTATATGTATAGTTTTTTTCTATTAACTTACTTTCCATTAATATCTTCAAGTACAAGTTTTTTGCCTAATGTCCATTTCTTTGATCTGACAGTATATCTATCATGTCCGAATTCGTCTTTGATTTTAAAACTATTAGTAAGTGCAAAAATTTTTTCTCGAATTTGATAACGACAAGGTTGAATTAATGTTGAAGTGCAAACTTCATCAGACGTCATGTCATATCAAATACAACTTAAACTAGAATAAATAGAGAATAAATACAAAATATATGTTGGATTAAGACGAAAAAATCCGTCATAGAAGAAAAGAGAACGAGAACAGAATCTTCCATTTTTGTTCATGCATACGATTTCCTCTTCGACTAATAATATGAGTCAATAGAAAAAGAACTACTGATGTGTTTCTAGATTCTATAATTGCAGTAGCTGCTGCCATCTTGAGTGTCAATCGATATAACATTTACATAAAATAGTGTCTAGTAACGATAGTCATGAAGTTAATCGTGTTATAACTATACAGTATAAATAAATCATTGTTTTTTATCGAAATTACACTATTATATGATACGATTTATTATATTATAGACATATTATGTTTATTACATGATCACCTATGCTATAGTTACTATACTTTAGACACGAAGCCGAATACAAATGAGTTCTTATTGTTCGATTTTATTCTTTCAGTTTAGAGAAGATCATAAGAAGAAGCAAACGTGTATTTAAATTTAGTTTCACATTTTAGTGATATACATAATACAATAATACATTATATCATTAGTATCGGTAACAAAAGTAGATCATATTTGAGAACTTCATTGTAATAAATAAAATATCATATAGTATACCAGAGATTTCACATCTGCGTCTAAATAAGGTTTCATTGATACGTTTTCTCATGGATTCTTTCACTCAATCATATTTATTGTTTATGTTTTATGAGATTATGTTTTAACAAATTAGAAAATCGATCTAAAAATACTAAACAGTAGTTTAGTTGATAGTTATAACATACCATCAAAATGAAGCAGCTAAATGCTTCTATATTCTTAAATTAATTCAACTATAAAAGTGCAATATGACTATGTATTATAAATCATTATATTTTATGATTTATCTGGTAACGATCTTCAAGGTTTATTATTTGATAAAATTCTTAATCTATCAGTTTCGTTTAAAGAAAAACCTAATATGAAGAGAATGTTATATATTAACAAATTGTATTAAATTAATTCATGATCAAGAAAATATATAAATTATTAACAAATTTTTGTCCATGAATAAGGATAATTCAACTAATGAATAATAGAATATATAATAGTCAACGATACGACTATTATATAAGTTCTTTGTCTTCTAAAAATAATGAACGTTCATTCGATTATATCAATTAAGATTAATCTTGAAGAAAATCTTTTCAAAAAATTATATGATCATTATATTTGACTAATTCGAAATATTGCACAGATTTACTAAATATTATTCTCAAGAATATATTACTTGCTGATATGTCATCGAAGATCTACCAATAAGCGATGAGTCTTTTTTTTGTAATAAAACATATTTAGAAATCAGAATATGAAATACAAAATTCTCTTATTTATGACGGGTCATGCATTAGCAGGTTGCATATACCTAGCATAAAAGATATGACGAAGCTCAGTAAAGCACAAGATTTTAAAGTATGAAACTTTGCTAATAGCCCTAAATATATCTGAGCATTATAATAAAATGCTAGAACTCAAAGTGAGGCTCTTAAAGTAGCCAGATGAAAAAACTTTTGTAGCGCCCCAATGATTTAATGACTAAGCTTTTATATTGTTTTGACTCCATAATATTGTGCCTTGGATTTTAAAAGCATAGATATATATTGAATAAATAATCATCTTAAACTATTGTGATTTATCTACTACTCATTCTCAGCTTGAAAATTCTAGATTTACTGAAAACCAAAACTGCTTATTTATATAGATTCCAATGTTTTTAAAAATACAACTATAAGTACTTAGAACTAAACACATGTTAATAAAAATAATAGTTTGACTATTCGGAACTGCCGGATGTTTTACGAAAAGACCTATAATGGCGAAATAAACCAAATTTCTTTAGAGTGAATACCATGTTTCGTCAATTTTACTGATTTAATCATTGTTTTGTGTAAGAATAATAGACATAGAATAAAATATTCACAAACTAACGAACATTAAATATTCAGAGCTGACTTTTTTGTTAATAACGTGTTTAGTAGTTGATTGCTTCAAACCATCAATACTCAAATAAATGTTTTCTTCCAACATTAATAATATGAGTTGTAATGAAATCCTACAATAAATTTTTTTCCTTATGTCAACTATCGCCAGTTTCTACCGTTTTTCTTACATATCAAAAATGAGTAAAAGGAATTTTTTTATTCCTTTGTTGGTCCATGCACTTCTCTTATAAAAGCACATTTCGAAAAGAAAACAGCGTGTCAACATACCTGATTTCGTTAAAAGGTTTACGAGATGTTTCATTTTTAAAAAGAATCAAACTTAAAATTTATATAGTTGTGGATGTATTCTATTCTTATTACAAGAAAAGTTTTTTCCGCTTTAACAATTATTCACTATTAAAAACAAGACAGTATAAATACATTTGGAAGCCAGACAAATTATTTTTTTTAATATTTATATGAATAGTTACATATTATAAAACTTAAAAATGAGCTTTAGACAATCCAGCATAGTCCATCCGGTAAATAAAACCAAGAAGCAAGAAGCTGAAGATGAGGATAGTACAACAGATGATATTATCATTTCTAAATTTCTTAATGTAAAAGATCGTATTAACATTCAAGTTGCTGACTCACA